ATTAACATGGTATCTTGAACCAAAACCCTTATAACAAATATGCCATGTGGTTTCAGGAAGAATTACAGTACCATTGATGATGTGGTACGTTTAGATTCATTTGTTAAACATGCTCTAGTATATAAACAACGTGCAGTATCGATATTCTTTGATCTCGAGAAAGCATACGATGCCACCTGGAAGCATGGCATTTTCCAGGATTTACATGAGTTTGGTTTGTGGGGTCGATTACCTCTTTTTATATCACAGTTTTTATCTGACAGGCACTTTCAAGTCCGAGTGGGTTCAACCCTGTCTGACCATTGCAATCAGGATCAGGGTTTCCCACAAGGTAGTATTTTGCCTGTCAAGTTATTTAGTATCAAGATCAACAGTTTATCCAAGGTTTTATAGGATTCAATCGATGGATCACTTTTTGTGGATGATTTTAATATTTCTTGTCGCGGTAAAAATATGCATACTATTGAACGGCAACTGCAATAGTGTTTAAATAAAATTAATTAATGGTGTCTTGAAAACGGCTTCAAATTGCCTAAGTCAAAAACTAATTGTATACACTTCTGCAGAAAATATAAGCTGCATAAGGACCTAGAAGTATTTTTAAATGGCACTTCCATCAAGGTTGTTAAGGAGGCCAAATTCATGGGTCTAATTTTTTACTCACATTTAACGTTCCTGCCCCATATCAAATCCGTTAAAGCTAAATGCCTGAAGGCACTTGATCTATTGAAAGTCGTTTCCAATTCTAAGTGGGGAGGTGATCAAACTACCCTCCTTCACTTATATAGATCATTGGTGCTATCCAAACTCGATTATGGCTCCATCGTATATGGTGGAGCCTGCGAAAACTAACCAAACTTCTTGAATCTGTCCACCACCAGGGTCTAAGACTTTGTCTTGGAACCTTTAGAACTTCACCTGTTGACAGTCTCTATGTCGAGGCAGATGAACCTTCTCTAATCCAACGCCTTATAAAATTACCTTTACAGTATATAACTAAACTATATTCCTACGAGTCAAACCCTGCATATAACTGTGTCTTTAATCCCCTCTATGAGGATCTGTATAACAAGAAATCTTCTCTTGTTCCGCCTCTTGGTATATGAGTCAAACCTTTACTTTCTGCTGCTGGCATTGGGCTAGAAAATATGTCTCCTTCCCGTCTTCTTTCTTCTCCTCCTGTTCCTAGTGTGGTGATCTACCTTCAGTTGTTGGCGATCTATATCCCGTGTTTTATACTTTATTGTCTTCTTTAATTGGAATTTTTTAGCTTTCCTCGCTAGGTTTATATTCATATCTGTGATTCTCTAATATTTTTACTGTCCATCGTTGACAGGTTTTAATCTTCAAAATGTTTTCAACTTTTATTGTATGGATTGTTTTCGTCACGATATGGCTGAGATATCGCCGATGTGACGTTAAATAGTAACTCACTCACTCACTCTTCTCCTCCTTGGCAGTTAGTGAGACCACAGGTTGGCCTAACACTGACAACTTCGAAAAAATCAGAAGCTAACGAATAACAATATAAACAAGAATGTAATCAATTCAAACATAAATATAATACAAACAAATCCTTATTTACAGATGGGTCCAAGGATGGTGGCGCAGTTGCTTTTGTCACTGTCATTGGATTCAAAACAATATCTTCTCGATTACCGGATAACAGCTCAACTTTTACAGTAGAAGCAAACGCCATATTAACGGCTCTTAAATATATTCAAAGACACCCTGAAAAACCTATGTTGTAAACATCCACTTTTAATAGAAATGATTGAATTATATAATGACCTTGCTACTGGCCAATACGACATCATCTTTTGTTGGTTACCCAGCCACGTTGGCATTTCTGGGAACACAATGGCACTCAACAAATCTGTGACACCACTTCTGATCCCATACTCCGATTACAAAGCTACAATTAGATCGTTCATCCCCGATCTGATGTAGAAGAAGTGGGACACTCAAGTAGGTATAAATAAATTATATGAAATTAAACCAACTATCGGTTACACTTACTTGGGTTGTCAGTCCAGATTTGAAGAGGTCATCATGCGACGATGACGTATTGGTCATACTAAATATACTCATGTATATTCATTAAAAGGTGAGGATCCTCCGTTTTGTATCCCCTGTGATGAAAGAATCACGATCAAGCATGTCCTGCGTGACTGTATTGATTTTTCCATCACAAGGATAAATATTTCAATGTCAAAACGGCCCATGCAGGAAGCCAATTGAACTGTAAGTCCCCATGGTCCCTAGTATGGTGATCTACCTTCAGTTGTTGGCGATCTGTAGCCCAATTGTATATTGTGTTGTTTTGAAATGATTTAACATTTTACAATGAACTCAAACTAGTTTTAATCGATTTGTGATATTCTAGTCGTTATACTGTCCTTCGCTGGCAGGTTTTGAAATAAGTATAAATATGATTATTCTTAGTACATAACATTTTGCGGTGACAATATGGCTGAAATATTGCCGATGTGACGTTAAATATTAACTCACTCACTAACTCACTCAATGTCAAAACAGTGACGGATATTTTTTATGTTAATAATCATTTAATTTTTAAAAGAAATATAATTACTTGATAAAAATTCTGATAAATAGTTTGTAAATAGATAAATATTATATTATTGGTAGTGTAGATTAGTAACTGAGATTGTTTGTGGCTGTACCCTCAGAGGGTGTTGAAGTATTGTAATATTATTGTCCTCCTGAGAGGGTACGTAAGTCCCAAAACTTTCAAGTTGTTTAGATTTAATTACTAGTTTAAAAGATATATATGTGATAGTCGAGTTGTTTTACTGTCCTTCGTTTGCAGGTGTTGATCATTTATTTTTAATCATTATAAATCTATACCTTGTTTTAGTCACGATATGGCTAAAATATTGCCGATGTGACTTAAAATCTTAACTCACTTACTCACTCATTACATTTTAACTCGCACATAGTCATCGCAATTGCATGCTGTCAATCACTAGATTGTCTTTGCGGGCAAAGGTTGGCAACGTGCTTCCCACGCTTCGGTTCGAAAAATATCGTTAATATCAAAATACAATATCGCCACCATCAAAGTAGAACCCGTTTTGTTCAAATACGAAACAACTAAAGCTAAAGTTTTGTTTAAGTTTAGTCACTAATAATTAATTATAATAACTACAGTGCGTCAACCTCAATGTAGCATGACTTGACAAGAGCGAGTGTTTTTTTCACGGACAACAGACAGGCGCGACCGCTCATGGATGTTAAAGCATTGTCATGCTTCTTTTTGCAGTTTCAACGTTGAAGCAAAACATGTTCGCATCAGATAGATTCTGTCAGAGACTGCTGAGTTGTTGTAGCATTCCTACATGTAAAGGTGCCTTCTCACCGTGCGACTTGTAGTAACAACTTGTAGCATGCAACACAGTTGCAATGTGAGAACAACCGAGCAGTAACGATATAAAATCGTATACAACTAGTCGCAGCCGAGTTGTAAGACATATGATTTGTC